CCTTTCTTCTCCAAGACCACCATGCAGAGGCAGGACTTTTCATGTGGTGAGGAATGAGACTCGTGCTTCAAGTCATGTCTCTGACAAATAAGCCTTTCCCTGCTTTCCCTCCCCCCCAATTTCTCTTCCTGTTATTTTTCAGCTCTCCTCAAGTTTTGCTTTGCAAAGCAAGGTCAGGTTAGGCTGTGAGAGCATCAGTCCCACTCCTGAAGGCATTAGGGATGTTTGGGGCAAGGCTTTGCTCAAGGCCCATATGCAGAAGGGGATCGGACAAAGGGGAATTGCTTCAGACTGAGAGAGGTTAGGTTTAGATTAGATATTAGGAAAAGATTCTTCCCTGTGAGGGTGGTAAAGCACTGGAACAGGTTGCCCAGAGAAGCTGTGGTTGCTCATCCCTAGAAGTGTTCAAGGCCAGGTTGGATGGTGCTTTTAGCAACTTGATCTAGTGGAAGATGTCCCTGCCCATGGCAGAGGGGCTGGAACTAGATGATTTTTAAGGTTGCTTCATGGTTTCTTTTCCAGGCAGCTCTTAGGGAATGACCTATAAGAGAGGTGCTATGCCTTGGTATGTGGGATTAGGGTCAGCTAATGAGTATTGCTCAGGGTGCCGATGGCTTCCTGCCCACCCAAGCCCCATCAACAGCCATGTCTGAATACCAGCACCCAGGCTCTGTGCAGTAGCCATCTGTGCTTGAAGGAAAACATCAAGCACTCCTGCAGAAAGAGATGAAATAATATTTGATCAGTTATGGAGGGAAGAAGGAAGTCCTGGGGCCCTTAGTTCTCTTCTTGCCAAGCTAACCAGCCTTGTTTTCCTGGGAGACATGCTCTGTAAAAACATGGGCTCAGTGTTTGGACAGATCCTTCCAGTGTGTTCTCTGAGGCAGAAATATCCAATGATAGGAAAAGTCTTGTTTGCCCTAATTTAGCTGGTCTGTCCTTGGGACTTTGAGAAACAGCTCACCATGGAAAGGGTGCTTCGTCAGGGAATATGTGTGGGCTTCAGCAAGCATGATTGTTTTTGCTGGGCTATGCTATCCAGAGATGAAGGAAACATTTGGTTCCTCTGGGGAAATGTCTGTTTTAATCACTGGCTTCTCTATGGGAAAGAGCCTGGTGCAGGGTGGGCTGATGCAGAAGGGTGGGTGTCACCCATGGTGGGGTAAGGATTACTGCTGGGCACGGTGGGGCTCCTCATCTCTCCTCAGTTTTGCTTGCTTCAGGTGTAAGAAGACACCCGAGAACAAGGCAGGGGGGTTGGAATTAGGTGACCTTTAAGGTTCCTTCTTACTCAAACCATTCTAAGATTCTATAAGCTGTCATGTATATGGACATCATCATATGGACATGGTGCTGTAGGAGCACCCATGCTGAGGGCAAGTGCCATTCTTTCCCTCACAAAGCAAACCAAAGTTGATCCTTTCCATCCTGAACCCATCCCAAACCTGCCACAGTGTGGACATTTGTGGCTCAGCCCTGCCCAGGTGAGACTCTCCCCGCCCCAGGGGCAGACCCAGGCATGACCTAGGTGTGTTTAGGGCTTGCCCCGCCTCACCTGGCGTGGCCGCAGGACGGGCAGCGGAGCTGATAGCAGCCGTGGGAGACTCCGGCTGGAGGCAGGGCAGGGAATATGCTGCCGGGCTGAGCCGCAGGAGTCGGCATGGAGCAGCAAGGGATGGACGTGGTAACTATTGGGGCTCCTCTTTCCACCCTTACTGTGCAGCAGTGGGTTCTGTCTCCTCTGTACCTGACCTGGGTGAAAGATTTGCTGCTTGGTTTTCTGCTGCTGCTTCGTAGCTTGAGGCTGTTCTCTCCATGGAATGCCAGGAGGAATTCATCCCGGCAGTGAGGTGCACGCTCTCATCGCTGCTCTTGCTCTGCCTGGAGACCACACGGGCACTGCTTTTCTGCCCCAAAGCAGGGGCTGAGGGGCTCCCAGTGCCTCCTTTCATTCCTCCTCACTCTGAGATGAGCTGCAGTTGTGCCTCTTAATTTAACAAAACGTAGAGTTGCCTTTTTTTTTTTTTTTTTTTTTTTTTTTTTTTTTTTTTTTTCCTGGGAGAAGCCGGTGGGTTAATGAGTAGATGGTATCTGCAGCGTTCTCTCGTCAGCGTGCCCGGAGTGCCTGAGCTTGGCTCCAGCAATCCCACGGCAGGGCAGAGGGCAGTGCTGATTAAACATTTACCCACCGGAGCTCCCTTGGGAATCAAGATAAAGAATTGAGTAAACCAGAATTCCAGGAGGGAAACAGGCTCTTGGTTTCTCTTGGCTATCCTGTCTGCCACATCCTTAATGGGGTTTCTCTTCCTGTGTGGATTCGTTTTAGAAAAGCAGCTTCAGAAAACTAAGGAGAATTAATTCTATTTAGTTAATTAAAGGATAAGAGCTCAAGAGTGGCCTTATTGCAGCCTTTCAGTACCTGAAGGGGCTACAAGGGAGCTGGAGAGAGACTTTTGTCAAGGACCTGGAGTGACAGGACAAGGAGGAATGGCTTCAAACTGACACAGGGCAGGGTAAGATTAGATATTAGGGAGAAATTCTTCCCTGTGAGGGTGGTGACACCCTGGCACAGGTTGCCTAGAGAAGTTGTGGATGCTCTACCTCTGGAAGTGTTCAAGGCCAAGTTGGATAGGGCTTGGAGCAACCTGGTCTAGTAATAGGTGTCCCCGCCATGGCAGAGGATTGGAACAAATTGATCTCTAAGGTCCCTTCCAATCCAAACCATTCTGTGATTCCATAATTCAGATTCCTTTTGGTTAGACCTTGATAACAGCACAAACCTACTGCTGCTGCTCCTCCTAAAAGGTACCCTTATCATAGGCTTAAGCTGAGCTTTATTTTGCTTCCTAGACTGATCTTAATGTTAGAAGAGCATTTTATTTATAGGCAGAAAATATGGGAAGTTTAGCTGCCCCTTGACTCTGTAATGCTGCTGTCCCCTGACTCCTTAATGCTCACAGCTTTCCGGCCAGTGGAAGTTTGTTTCCTTTTCACCCTCTCCCTCTCTCATCTTGCGTGAGCTTTTGCCAAATGTAGTATTAGTCACAGTCAATTATTTGGCCAGATGTAGCTAAAATACACATTGTGAGCACTTGGCAAGCCCTCCCTGCACTGGTGGGACACCAAGACTGAGATTTCTCGTGTCCTGCCTGTGACCTACTCAGCACTGTGTTTAAGCTGAGCATCTCCCTGGGCCAGGTTAAGGTGTGTGGGTTGGAGAGTTGCTTGGATGGGTTTGTGGTTTGAAACAGTCCCAGCTCTGATGGAAAATCATCCCTGCAGAGACCAGGAGAACTCATTGCACCTTGGAGGGTCTGGCTAAGCTCAGCCCTGTGCCAGGAAACAACATTTGCAGGAGATTTCTGGAGAGGGATGGATTGTCCAGCTGGGTGTGGGTGTGCAGGAGGTGGCCATGGTGTGCAATTTAACCCTACCCTGTGAATATCCCAACAGGCTGCAGTCTGGGGGAACTATATTCCAGTGAGGGGCACTGAGAGTACATTAAGCACAGATTATCTTCCACTTAATTAAGCCAATCATTTGAAGCTGCCATTTAAAGGCAAGAGGAACAATAATTTGAGGGAGGAAAAGGGAAGCTTGTATCCATCCCTCTTTAATTAAACTTAATGCCAAGCTCATGACTGTCACAGACAGTGCCAGGGACAGGCCTGACCAAAAACCCCGTGTGTCATGAGACCACCTTGCCTAGGGCACGTTGAGACATGTAGGTACTTTTTCTTTCCTCTTCTCTTTGTCTCTGAGGGCACTGATGAGGAACTGTGTGCTACAGTAAAGAAAATCAGAGGTAAACAGCATTGAACTCTTCAACTGTTGCTGCAGCACGTGCAAAAGCTTGGTGCAATTGCATTTAGGGCACCTAGCTGCTTTATTTCCTGTCTGGCATCGCTGGAGGGATCAGGTACATGTGGGAGTATTTTTCTTCCAAAATCTGATTCATCCTCTCTATGCTTCTGAAAGCTCCCATTCCCATCGGCTCGCCCCTAGATTAGCCTGTCTGAGCAGCTCACACAGCATCAAGATGCTGACCACTAATATGAAATATAATTGGAGCAATTCAAACTTCTCCCCCAAGGGTTGGTTCTTTACATCATGCACTACCCTGTGAAAGTAATAAAGTCAGTGAAAGGAGTTATTCAAGAGAAATTGTCAGTGTTTAATAAATCGTGCAATTAAATGCAATAAAACCTCAGTATGCTATTCATCTGTTCTGTCTTAACACTCAAGGCTGGGGCTTTTTTCAGAATAACGAAGTTCTGTCCTAGATAATTTTTTCCAATTTCCTCATTAGGCAGGTTCTCGTGAAGCCTTACAGTTCTCTGCACTGAACTAAGCTGCCAGAGCAGTGCACCTAATATAATCATGGCATATAAAAAGTTATAGAGCAGTTCAAGGACTTAAGTAGCTCATAAATTTTTCTTCATATTTTCTCCCTAGTTCAGTTCAGGGCTGAATTTAAGCCACAACACTGCAGGCAAAAATTGTGGTCCTCTTTCTCCAGCATGGGATCGTGAGACACCAGGGGAATGAAGGCCTGAAACAAAATGTTCTTTAAGTGCTCTTTTGAACTGCACTGTCACTGATTAGTTCTCCTCAAAATCATATATTACCTGGGGTCTAGTGTGGGAGAGGAATTGAGTATTGTAGCCAGTATTCATCACCTGCACTGGGAGATGCTTTTGCTGTCATTGTGTGCTACTGGTTGGGTGGTATGTCCTCTCCTTCCTGGATAGGAATAAAGGCAAGGGAAGAAGCATCCAAAGAGCCTTGGGGAACTGAGTTGAACCAGCACTGGGGAGGAAGAACATTTTGTCCCAGGGGTCATTTGGAGCCTGCCAAGGAGGATGTTTGGTGCTTCTCTTTCCATGCTGGAGTTTTCTAAAGAAGGCAGGGCATGGAATGGGGATCTCTGAAGCAGCAGTGACCTCTCCTGTTTTGTGCTTGTGTACTAAATATAAAGTGGAGCTTTCCTACTCAGCAGGTGCATAAACAGTATAGCAGCACCTCTGCCAGGAAGCTAAACATTAAATTTAGTGTTTGCCAGGTCTTCCTGAGGGAGATTCTCCATCACTGGGTGACACTGAGGAGAAGCAGGCATTTCCTCTGTCCTGCTGGCTTTGCTGAGTTGTGTTTCCATGCTCTGCTCCTGTGTTTTCCTCCTGTCTCAGTTCTTTTGCCTTAATAAGAAGTGATTTGTGAGCCTTTGGAGGATCCTCTGAAAGAGCTAATTCTCCTCTACTGCTTTTAAATTTTCACCAGGATTGGCACATCCTTGGTGACCAGGGTGTAGTCTGCAGTTTATTTCTGTCTGAAGCCATCATGATTGTATAAATTGCCTGTTGCCACGTCTGTAAGCAGATGTTTTGTGCTCTCCTCTTTCCCCTCACCCAGGAATGTGTGACTGATTTCAAAGCTCTCCGAGCAAAATTTCAAAATGACTCTGACTTGGCTAACAAGCTGGTGCAGCCACTCAAGAAGCCTTCCACTGAGATCACATCCAAGCTGGGCTCTGGTGGGAATGCTGTGTCCAACCCTCTGCCCCTGAGTAAGAGAGATGTGAAAATAATAAAACCTGCCCATCCTACCTCCCAGCCTTCTATGCTCACTCAACATAGCCCCTTGCCATTGCCTCAAGCCAAGCTGGGACACAACAAAGAACAGGAGGGCAACATCTCAGGGAAAAGGCTGAGTTCTCCCCAGAACAGTTCTGAAAAGCCTCTGTTGTCATGTAGTTCTGACCAGCAAGGATCAGGCCAAACAGCTCCAGTGGACCCTCAGCCCCCAAACTCTTTCCACCACGTCCTACAGATCTGGGAAGAGACTTTATCCTGCAATGAGAAAGCAAGTGCAACACTCCCAATGCAACGGGCAGCAAACTTAGACATGTACCCTTGTCCAGAGCAGAGGGCGACACGTGCTCCTGTTGCATGGGACAGTGACAGGATGCGACCCTCTGGAAGCAAGGCTGTGCTGGACTGGCGCGCCCAAAAGAAGAATGCTCTGCGTGGTAGTGGGACAGCTCTTCCCCAGGCTCCCAGAGGACACAGAAGTTCTGATGGGGCAGGTGCTGAGGGCATGGTGGCAACTGCATTCTGCCAGGCAGGTTATCGTCCACCAGGAGAGAAACCTCAGCACCAGAAAGGTACAGTAAGGTATATTCTTAACACTGAGCATATATATAGAGAGAGACTATTTACAAAGGCATGTAGCAACAGGACAAGGGGGAATGACTTCAAACTGAAAAGAAGTAGGTGTAGATTAAATATTAGGAAAAGATTCTTTCCTGTGAGGGTGGTGAGGCCCTGGCACAGGTGCCACAGAAGCTGTGGCTGCCCCATCCCTGAAAGTGTTCAAGGCCAGGTTGGATGGAGCTCTGAGCAACCTGGTCTAGTGGAAGGTGTCCCTGCCTATAGCAGGGAGTTGGAGTGCAATGATCTTTAAGATCCCTTCCACCCCAGGCCATTGTATGAATATGAGCATGTACGTGTTCTGGAAGTACAGGGTACAGCAGCTGGAGAGAAAAGTCAGGACCTTCAAACAAGAGGCCAGATTGGTCCATTGGAATGTTTTTTCTTTCTCTGGAGATCCTGGAGATAAGAAATGGGTCCCAAACTGCTGCTGAACTTTGTAAGGTGAGGGTCTCCATCTCCACCAATTTTTTTAGAACTCACTTAAGGAAATTGCCCACATTATGAGAATAGGATGAAGAGTGAGGACAGGAGAGTATCTTCAGTTTTGGTCTGCTTTGGCTTTTTGCAGTCACAAGGTAAATGTGACTGCTCTTCAGTTTCACACAGATATAGGAAGGCTTGGCTCATCTGCAAAGACAGTTTAATTCTAATTAAAATGGCTTAAACCTGAATCCCCCCCTCTACACCCTCTCAGCTGTGCAAAAGGTCATTTTTAAGCCTGGAGAACATATTTCTTAGAGAAACTGGTGCTAGGAAACTCAAATGCTGCAAAGGTGCCCTTGCTAATGTCACATTGGGTGACAGGGCACTGAAAAGCTTAAGTCTTTGTTTACCCTGGAAAGCCACCTTGCTTGGACTGAATGCTGAAAACAACCACGCCACTAAATCCTGGTGGATTAAGCTGTTATCAGTACAGAAAACTGGGCTAGTATTTTATAATCCAGAGGAAGGGAGCTGTCGAGAGCTGAGACCCCAACATGGTTCACTTTGTAAAAAATCTGTAAAAATGGACATTTCCGTTTACTTTGTTATTCTGGTAACATGGTAAGAGACCTGCTGTGTAATGGGGATGCTGAAATTGGGAGGAAGCAAAGCTGGTTAGAAATGTGAGTACAACTAATGATCCCACGTGGATTTTTGCTGAAATGAGGGCTAATTGATGCCTGTCCTTGTGCTTCTCTGGAGCAGAATTGGAGCCTCCCTTGTGCCAGCCCAGAGCAGGAAAATGGTCTTACAGCCCCAGGAACAAGTGGCCAAGAATTAAACCTCTCCCTTCAGCTGAATCCCTGGGTCCTGCCCCTGGAAAGCCTCCAAGACCCCCAAAGTTTGACCTCAATGCTTTCCGAAGCAATCTGCCTTTGGTCCACAGAGGAAATGAAACAAGTAAGAGATCTCTGGTCTTTCTCTCCAAACTTGTTCTGTAGAAAATGAATAATAATTTGCAGTTTATTGACATCTATTAGGCCATGATTCCAAGCCCACAGAAAAAAGACATTGTTACTTGTTTATAACTTCTTCCTCAAACATTAACAATAGCCCAGCAGTTTCAGTGGGGCTGATTTTTGCTCTTGATCTGGAAGAGGGATCTGGTTTTCCAAGCTGGACGCCATCCCACATGCAGAAACCCGCTTCCCTCCCAAGTGCAGCGTGTTGTGAGTGGTTTACAGCTGGCTGTAAAGCAGCAGCAGCTGCCTACGAGCTGAGCTGATCTTTATCACTCCTCTTCAATGGGAAATGCCTTGACTCTGGAGCACAACTGTGGGAAGGCACAATAAAATTGTTAGAAAATAGTCTGCTAATCCCCCCCTCTTCTGTTTTAAATACAACAGAGGGCAATGTTGCTAAGTGTTCCAACATCAAGAAATGCAAAAGTTCAGTTTCCCATAATAAAACTCTATTGATGTTGTATAATAGAATATTTTGGACCACTTATTAAGCTGCTAAGTGGTGTTTCTTTATAGATACAGGCTTAATTATAGCCAGATTTTTAGACACAACTTTTGCTGAATTCAAAGGGAGCTCCTTTTGTAAGAAGGGCTCTGCTAAACTCTCTTTGGCTTTAATATGCCAGTGCTTCTTGGTGTGCCCTGGCTGTGATAAGAATAAGAGGGAAAGAGAGTTTTTCACTGAAACTCTTTTCTAACCTACTTGCCATTTCTAAGTATATGAATTTGATGGAGGGAACTAGTTCCATTTATGTGTCGTCATCTCCATGCCCTCTCCATATTGCTCGGTTATCAATCTCTAGAAAGCTTGGGGTTGTTGCCTGGAAACACGAAATAATGATATATTAACATAGCCACATCCCCAGTTTCTGCTGGCAATCTTATTTCACGCCTGCCTTTGTGTGCAGTGTGCTGCCTGAGGAAGGGCAGTCCCTGTCACACCTCCCGTGGCTGCAGCTGGTGTTCTGTGGGAGAGCAAGATTGCCTTCAAACACTAATCCTCTGTGTGTTTGTGTGCAGCTGCTGGTGAAGAGGATTACTTGAGCCCCAAAAGGTGAGCCTGTGGGGAGGCAATGTGTGGCTTGTAGGTGACAGGAGCGTCCCCATCTCACGATCTGAAGTATCCGAGTTCAGTCCGGAGACAACGTCTGACTCCCAGAGGCAGCAACTTGCTCCAGGGTTTGTTCAAGTAAATGAAAGTGTTCAGGGCCAAATTGGATTGGGCCCTGAGCAACCTGGTCTAGTGGAAGGTGTCCCTGCTTATGGGTGTAGGATTGGAACTAGATAATCTTTAACTAGATCTTCTAGCCCAAACCATTCTGTGATTCTGTGTTTCTATGGTTATAAAAACTGGCTGGGATGCCCTTCTCCTAAAGGAAAAAGCTTCATCCCTATTTTTTCTTTTGGGCTGTTAAAGCCACATGGAGAACCATATCTATGTGTCTTTAGGTCTGGTTTAGCTAGTGGAAAAGAAAATGCTGCCAGTGCTTTGGTTGCAAAGTCATCAACCCCCACATGTTTTTTGCTTCCTGTTTTCCATGTACTCAAGTTCGGTGTTTTTAGAAAAGTGATGCTTTTGAGAACTGTTGCTGAAACAAAGCCCTGGTGTAACCAGCAGGTGTTTGGATTTTCTTTGCCAGCAGTGAAGGAGTTTGCTCTCCTGCATGATTCTGTGGTCCTATGTTTGTGCAGTCAGCACAACCAGGGTACAGGAGTCACTGCCCTCCCTCACCATGCCCAGCACTCCAGATGCTGAAGTGAGATTTTTATTGAGTGGTGGTCCAAATCGCTGGAGTTTGTGTGAAATGGCTCAAAAACCTTACAGACACCACTTTTGTGTGCTTGGGGATCCTGACTTTTTCTGGTGTGTCTCTGACTTGTCCTGAGTGATTGTGTAGTGGTCCTGGTTTTGTGCAACAAGAACAGGAAAAGTGGAGGAAAATATTCATATACGTGTTTTATCTTGGCTGTGAAGAAGGAAAATGGAACAGCTGAACCAAAGCGAAGGGAGGGGAATTCTTAAAATTCTTTCTGTGTCCAAACAACTCCTGCAGCTACCAACACAGCAAGTTGTTCTTGACATCATGAGGTGTTCCTGCCAGCATTGGCTGGTGTTAACTTTTAACCTGTACTTGTCAGAAGAGAACTGGTCAAATAGGAACCAGCTCCAAAACTGTCGTGCCCCACAAGGAAGCTGATCTAGTAGTGCATTGCAGAAAAATTAGCTGTCTTGCCCCAGCACTTGTGATATGGTCTTTACAATAGGTCATTTGTTAAATATTAACTGTATGATAACTGGGGAAATGAATTAAATAACTCCAGCATAAAAGAAAAATCCCAGTGGTTTGGGGACGGAAATTCCCCTCATCGAAGCCTCACCTGGAATGAAGTCTGGTCTCTTACAGACCCTGATGTACTACCTTGGGTTGACTAATCTTGAGCTGTAATTGCTTGTTTGGGGATAAACACTCTGCCTTCACTGATGCTAGTTGGGGATCCTTCAGCCCAGCTGCATTTCAGGTCTGGTGTGGCACTGTGGTTTATATAAAGGGCTGTCTGATGTCCAGCCAAGTTCCCAAACCAGGATGTGGTTTGTTCCAGAGGTTGGGCTAGGGAAGTGAACGGTTAGGGGTTTTCCTGGTCTCCTCTTCATCAAACGATGGCACTGGGGACAAAATATCTGCTTGCAGTGTTGATGCAATATGTATGTGTGTGTGTGTCCCTCTCAGTGGGACCTACATGTCCCAAACTTGCTGTGGAACCAGAAAGATGGCCAGCACTGCCCCCAGGCTGCAGGGCACTGCCCCCAGGCTGCAGGGCACTGCCCCCAGGCTGCAGGCTGCAGGAATTCCTCAGGTTCTGGTTTACACTTAATCTTTACTCTGAGTTGTGACAGTTGGGTGATTCCAGGAAAGCTGGACACTCCCCAGGGTTTTTAATATAGTCTTTCAGTTAAAAGAAGGAAGTTCTTGCTAGAATTCTTCCTGGTGCTCTTTTCCCACCATACCCTGTCTCTCAGGTGTGTTACAAGCTGTGTCTTGTGCATTTGCTGCTTCCTGGTACATTCCTGAGATGCCAGAACTCTGCCACTGTGGGTAGGGAGGAAGACTTCGCGATTTGCCTGGGTAATTCAGGAATGCTTGGCTTTCTCTCTGTGGCTATTCCCAAATGACAATAAAGTGAATTTCTGGATGAAGAAAGGAGAATGAGGAGGTGGGAACTGGGCCGGGGAACTCAATACTTGAGGCTGTGTGGTGCTGGAGCCGTGATGCCTTGTCTCCTCCTATGGCTGGCACATGCCACTTGCTGTGTTGGCATGGAGTGACTGGCTTGATAAGCTCAGGAGCAGGACCTTTAAACATACCTTCTGATATCTCTGCTTTCCCCTTTCTGTTTCCTTCCACGAGAAGCAGCGTGCTGAACAGTGCAACTGGGTTGTTACCAATTTCAAAGTACCTGAGTAGGCTTGAAAAAATGCTGTGCTCCTATTTCCTTGGATTTCTTTTGTTCTGTTTCTGCTTGAGGGAGTGCTGTAGGCAGAAGACTATAATCCTAGTATGATGTCTCCTGATGTGCCTTGAGCCCTATAAACACAGCCGGTCCTCCCAGAGGAAAAGCAATGGGAGTGTGGAGTTGGGGGGAAGGTTCAGCTGAGCCCTGCATCTGGCACAGGTCTCCTTTCCCTCTAAGGAATTCCTAATTTCACTTTGCTTTTTTTGTAGGCTCAGTATCAAAGTACTTGAATTCCTTGTCCTTAAGAGGAATATTTTTTTTCATTCTTCTAAAAGAGACAGAAAAAAAAAAATCTCTTCTCTTTTTCATCTTCTCAGTGCTCAACTTCAAGAGCAGAATAATTATGAAGAAACCCCAGTGTACCTGAATCAGGCTGGGGACACCACAACCTTGTGTGTCATTGAAGGTACTTTACAAGGTAAAACTGTTAGGTGAATCGTGCAATCTCGTATAAGGCATTTAAAAAGGAAATAACAGGGTTCTTCAAGTTGAGAAAAGCAGCTGCACATTGTTCTGGGTGACCAAGGATGATTCTCCGTACTCTGTGCACTGACAATGTGTGAGGAGTGGGGCACAGACAAAACAGAAATTAGTATTTTGGTGGTGAAATAATGCTTATAGTAAAACAGCAGTGGGGAAAATCGTGATATACTACCCATGTAGAAAAGAAGGAAAAAAAGATACTGAGACAAACCTCGGCATCTTCTTGGGAACAGAAGGATATAGGGAACATTTCCATCTCTGTCAATGTTTTTTCCCAGTATAATTTTCTCCATCAAAGGGATCACTGCTCTGCTTTTGCATTTTTCAAGGTTGCCTCTTTTTGGGAGGTTAGTTTCTGCCATACACATTGTTCTTCTCTCCTCTTGGAACAGGAGCCAAACAATTTCCTTGGGGGATCCTGTCAGCCCTCTTGGGCTTTTGTATGGAAACTGTGGCCTGCCAAGCTTGGTGCTGCAGTTCTCTACATGCAAATAAATGCTTAATAGCAAATAGGACCCTGGCCAGTAGGACGTGGTGAATGTCCCATGGTGCATGTGTGCCTGAATGCTGAGCATCCCAACTGAAGTTGAGTTTTGCAACTAAAAGTGCTGTGACTTTAATGCAGACTAAAAAGTAATATGTGTTCATAAATATCTTTTCTAGTACCTAAGGCAGAGCCTCAGGAGCACAAGGTAAGTGTTATCACAGCCAGTTTTGATCTCACAGTCTTGACTGCACCATACTTTCCTGCCTTGAAAATTTTCAATATCTGTATTTCTTACGTGAAATACAAGAGTTTCTTTGTGTGTTGTCTGTGAAGACTCTCAAAAAATAAATAAGAAATTGCAGAGGGGACACAAAGACTAATGAGATTCCCAAAGATACTAGTGGGAAGAGTCCCTTCAATTCCTCTGCATATATGTAAGGAAGTGGTAACACCATGTGGATCTTGGTGGTAGACCAAGTAAGTATCACACACTGATAGCAAGATCATGAATTCTTGGAGGGAAGATCTACTAAATTATTCTGGAAGTTCCTGCCACAGGCGAGCTGGTGCTGGTAATCCCTCTGTGAAGGTGTAAAAGCAGAACTGAACCTGCTTGCTTGGTATGGCAGAAGGCTTAGAGTTTTGGCTCAGAAGCAATGAGCAAGTGTTGAGGGCATGACTGTACAGGTTTTCATCACCTGCTGCAGGGATATCTCTGCTGCAAACTACAACTTTTCATTTTACCTTGGCTGCAAAGGGGTGGCAGTTCACCTTGGCACTGGTGATATCCTGCAGGAAATGCAGGACTGTGCATTGCACAGGGCAGGAGTTGCTGCAGCTATTCCTAGAGCAAACCTGCATGGCTGCATGGCCGAGCTCACAGCAGGTAGCTGGGCTGAGAGAACACATCACCTCATGCCAGGAGATGATCATGTACTGGGTATCAGTTCTGGCCCTGCTAAAAGAGAGAAAACTTTGAAAGTTTCAAACTCCACTGTCAAATCCTGACTTGCAAAGCAAGTTTCCCCTTGCCCAGGAAACAGCACAGGTTTCCAAATGCACTTATCTGTGTGTGATTTGCAGGGAGGTTCTCTGGCTTGGCTGTAGTCTCATTTTATGGTAGGTTGGGAAATCTTTACTTAATTAAAAAAACTTGCTCCTCTTCTGTAAGGTCTCCCGTCTGTAATAGCTTTCATGCTGACCAGTAGCTTCACTGGCCCCATCCCTTGCACTATTATATTATCTCTGTATACCTTGTCAATATGTATGTACCCTATCCTGCAAAGTAGAGGAAATATCCTTGACTGATGACTATTCCAAATGTAAAATGCTTCTGAGCTTTCTAAAGAAATATTTCTTTAAATACTACATGACAGTTTAGGCCTTGTATAAAAGCTTGACTGCTGAGAAAATCATAGTGGCTGAAGACTTTCCTCTTCTTTATTCTAGAAACAGAAGATTTTTCCCTTTGCCAAATCCAGGTAATTTCCTTTCCATTCTCTCAAGTTCTTTTAGCCCCACAACTAACTCAGGTTAAAAATTGAATATTGTAACAATCAGTAAATAGAAAGAAATTTCATATATTTCATGACCAGGACAAAGGAGGCAATGATGCTTTTCTGTGTCAGCACTCAGGTTTCTAAGCATATCTGGAGGGGAGATTTTCTTTTGTCCTCTGGGACACAAGAAAATACATAGTCTTTTCCTACTGTAACCTAAAGTCTTTCAGCATAAGCAGGGAGAGTTATGAGGCTCTCAAACTGGGATGCCTGGTTCCAGGTCCAAGGCTCTGTGGGAAAGGTGAGGTCTACACTGAATTTCATTCTGTGAATGTTGTGCTTCAGATTTCTTGCAGTGTATAATTATTGACACTGTCTGAAGGCTGGTTTTTTGTTTGTTTGTTTCAGGTTTTGTTTTTGTTTGGTTTTGAGTTTTGTTTGGTTTTTGGTTTTGTTCCTTTTTTTAATGGGGATTTTAGAGTCACTTCAGTGGGAAAATTTGATGCTGGGCAATAAAAAGGTATCAAGTTCTGCATACTGTTGCTGTATTTTCTTCCCTAAATCTTTAGTGAGAGGCATATCTTGTGGGCTAGCTGCCACCACTGGCAAATGGATCTAACTTGTCCATTCCTGCTATGAGGAAACAATCTGATTAGTTTATTTCCCTTCCAAGAATGATTGCTATTATCCCTGACTATCTGCCGACTTAGGTTTGGATTTGTCCTTCCTTTTAGTTCTGGTGGTCTTTTGGGCACCTACCTCATTCAGAGGGAAAATGAGCTGCTTATTTGGGCACTGTCAGAATGCAATGTATTTGTGACTTTGCTAAATGTCCTGAGATCTTTCTCATTTCTGAAAATTTCAGTCCTGAAAGAGCTACAATAGAGGATGAAAAAGAGGGGAAACCAAGTCATGAAAGAGAGAAACTGGAAGTGATGAAAATTTTCAAGGTATTGTAATTCTTGAGATTAATTTTAATATTTATTATGGGATGTTTCTTTTCCTCTTATTCTCCCTGTCTTCAGGTAATAGTTGAAACTTGAGCTCTTAATCATATGGGAGTTTTTTCCCTTCTCTTTTGCCTGATCATCCCTCAGCTGCTTCTGCCTAAAAAGCAGGTAGTACTGCCAGGCAGCACCTATGTCTACCACAGATCCCTGATGGAAAATGGCATGAAATTGTTTTAAGTCCACAAAAACTTAGATTCTTGTGTGTGTATATATATATATATATATATTTATGTGTGTGTGTAAATTATGTTAACTTATATTAGAAAACTGTTTCTAAAGACTGTATGGACCAAACCAAATGTTTGATTTTAGACAGGTGGAAGTGAATACATGTCTCCCAGTAGTCAAACCAAGGAAGATGGCAGAGATGGGATGAAGGTCCTGCAAGGGAGGCAGGATGTGACCAGTACCCTGCCTGCAAACTACCCGATCCTACAAGGTCTGTCAAAAGACAGAGCAGAGCTCTGTGAGTATCTCATTGCGCTGTTGAGTGTTTCCTCAGTCCCATCTGTTGCCCAAATGTCTCTTCCATGTGGGAAATAATAATGTTAAATTTGGATGCAACTCTTGAACCAATTTAGTTAAACCAGGGCAAAAGGTTGCATGAGCATTTGTATTCTGGTCTGAATCATTTATTTTGGCTTTGCAAATAGCTTCCTAAGTTGGTTAACCATCTGCGTAACTCAAACCAAGGTGTTTGTTTTTTCAGCAGATTGCCCTTATCCAAGAGAGCTGAAATCCATCTCCTCTGCTTCTCATAATTTATTGAGTCTCAGAAAAGGGTTTGGCTAAGGCTTGTGGTAGAAACAACATGAGCAGGATGAGAGCCTGAAGGCTCCCTCTGTCCCTTAGTAGGATGGATGATGATTCCTTGCTCCATCTTCTCGTGGTGCCAGGCTGACTTTCGCCTCCTTCTGTCACGATACTCTGAGATAGTGACTGGAGCTGGTGATATGCACCTTAGCTGCACAATTAAACAAAATCAAGTCTCTTCTATAAACACTGTTTTGCAGCTTCAGGTACAAACGTTCATGGGCTCTATTCTGCAGAGCCTTACTCCTGCCTCTGCAAGCCATTAGTGTGATATGGCAGCATTTTAAAGATGAAAGAGAGCAAAGTAACTCTGTTGGGCTCTGTGGACAGACCAGGAGTGTGAAGGAGAAAGTGTAAATTGGCTGTGACTGTGGTTATTTTCATTGGTGTGGTTCTCGGGTATTATTTTTTTTTAATTTTAAATCACCTCATAATAATTTTCTGTTTTGGTTGGCGTCTGTTTTTGTAAGAAATCTTGCTGGTTTGCTTCACCTTTGAACAGCTGGAGGTGATTTCAGTTGGGATTTTTTTTTCAAAGTACTCATGGGGTATATTCCTGCTATTACTTCAACAGAGAGGTTGATTAGGAGAATTGTTGGGTCCCACTCCTGCCTCCTTTTCTTTTCATGGGATTTGAAAGTTTTGCAGAAGTTGTGGTCGGTAACTAGACCATATTGAAATGGTGCATGTTTTCAGTGAGATCTACTGCATGAATCGTAGAATGGTTTGAGTTGGAATGGACCTTGTAGATCATCTCATTCCAACTTCCTCCCACGGGCAGGGACACCTTCCACTAGACCAAGTTGCTCCAAGCCCCTTCCAACCTGACTGTGAACACTTCCCGTGTTCATTTTGAAAGAAATATCTGGCTGCATTTCTACATTACTCCAGCTCTCTTAAATCCGTTTTTAAGGAGTTAATATTGCTACTTAGCAGAGTTCTCCAGTAATAATCTTCTTCTAACCTCACAAGGTGCAACTCTCATGCTTAATTACATCCCTCAGTGAAATACATCTCTGGGATACTTATCCTCCTTGGCTTCTTTCTGGGATGTTGATTTACAGGTGTATTCCAATGGACTGGTACATTGTTTGGATCCATTCCACCAACCATGCTTTCCCTTCAGTCGTTTCTCCAAACATCCTTGAATAGTCTCTTGGGATGCTTTCGAGTGAGAAGGATTTGAGAATATCAATGGACATTTTAATTTTTTGTAAAATCTGTAATATTTTATGACTTTAAAATGTTTTAAAAGTAAATGTTTTAAAACCTTTTAAAATCCTTACCTTTTGTTTCTCCAAGTGAGTCGGAGCAGAGTCTTTCCTTGACTCCTGGAATGGAAAATATAAGTTGTGTTACCCTCAACAGTTGTCCATGTCCTGAGAGAAATTGCTCAGAAAAGCTGCTAAAGCAAAGGTCCTTTCTCATTTCCAGTGCACAGCATGGATGTTGGTGCTCCAAAGCTGGGGGCAGAAAGAACAGCCTTGAACCAAAACACTTGGCAGCCTCTGCAGGCACCAGAGGATATATATGATGACATTGAGGAATTGCAAGATGGACTGTGAGTATAGACCCGGGCTCTTCACAGTGCCTGTGTCTATGAAATGTCATTTAAAACCTCTGTGGCAGTAAATCCCCATATCATACTTCTGTCTTCTAGCAGCTACAGGTCAGATGCCTCAAGTTCCTTCACTTCAGACAGCTGTAAGTGCAGCACGTGGGGAAGCTCTAACAGGAGCTGCTTTCAATTTGGGCTGGTCCCTGGGAGATGTTGAGATTAACTTTCGGCATCTATAGTGTCTCATTCTGGCCTGGTTGCTCTAAATTCCGATTAACACTGGTGGGGAGTAATATACATGTCTAGCATGGAATTCATCCTTGAAGCCTCTGTAAGACTAAAATGTAAAAGGTCTGGGTGCAATTTGTCCAGCAAACCTCACCTCATCTCATTGCTACTGAGCGTGGTTTGTGATAATGGCGTGCCTCGGTTTAAAGTTTCAGGAAACACCTACGAGGAAACATATGAAGATGTTGAGATTGGAGGTGATAATCCAGCAAAACCAGAGTAAGTCACACTTTCTTAGCCTATATTTTGAAATACTGACCATACATCCTCGATCTCACACACCAGATACTGGCTGGAAGCCTTTTTTAATTAATTCAACTGCAGAAAAGTTGTTGTATGGGTGGATTTCTTTCCCCTCTTCCTTCTTCTTTCCCCTTTGGCTGACACTTAGGGAGCAAAAAGTAGTTACCAAATTTAAATCCCTAAGCAATGAGGGATTTCTTTTTTTCTCGTAGCACTCCTCATCCGTTGGAAGTACTGCCCTTACAGACCTCTCCTTGCATGAAACACACAGAAAAGTCTCGCTTGCCTTCTTTCGCTTAGAAGTGTTGCTCAGCTGTAGCTGAGAAACGACACATTTCTGTGTGTGCCAAAAAAAGGAATGCTCAAGGGACAAATTGTCCCCATAAAACAGGACAATTTGAGATCACACGAGGTTGCAAAAGCTGAAAAGAGCCTGACATGCTGTAACTAACTTGCAACCTTCTCTTTTTTATATGGTTTCTCAAGATATTTGCTTCCACGGGGTGTGTTATAAAACCAATGAGTTTTGCAGCCTCGGGTTTATACGTTGCTTGAGCTTCCCAAATGGATTAAGAGGTGAAACATGAAGTTAGTTGTGTTTTGTGTGGTTCCCTACCCTCATGCAGTAAAAAGTTTCCTTTGTAAGAAATAGAGACAGCCTTTGGGAAAGGCATATGGGCTGGGGATGTGGCACACTATTGCTTGGACTGCATCTGGTGTCTCTCTTCTAAGGAGCAGAGTGGGAGGAATAATAAGGTGTTGCTGTACATCTGCTTTTCCCTTACGGAAAAGCACACTGGCTTGCATCTGGATTCAAGTCTAGCTAAAGTGTAGATGTCAGAGAGGGGGGAAAAGGGGACAGCTGTAACCCAGGAGGTGACAGGGTAGTTAATAAAAGCAGAAGGTGTCATTTCTCTGCAAATTGTCCATGGGAGTTGTGTGATGGAGGTGTACAAGCTTCTCTGACCAGAGGGTAACATGTTCCCAGGTTGATCATTCATGTCCCCCACCAGCTGGGAAGTGCATCCATCCCTCTTCTTTACCCTTCTGCCCATGGGTGCGGAACAGTAGCAGAAATTAAACTATTGCTAATTCACAGAGGAGCAATGCATCTTCCTGGGCTTGCAAAGGAATTTCAAGACCATTTGGGACCAAATTCACAGGGTTCAGAGGTCAGGGTCTTAATCCCCAAACCAGCCTTTATGTAATCTTTCTCTTGATCCCACATGTGGGATTAAGTGTGCTGGTACATGTAAAGTATTTTTAATAGTACTTGTGCGTGGGTAATGTCCCCCATGGGAACATCTTGGTTGCTTCCAGATACCTTATTAGAAAATGGTTGTATAGCTTTGCAACCCCCTGTAAGTTTCAGAGAGGAGAGTGTGTCGTGGAATATCATTCTCAAGAGCATACATGACAGAAATGTGTGAGGGAGGGTAGCACAGGCAGATGCCCCTCGTGTCTCCTTTAATTGTCCCTGCATGCTTCTGGGTAATGCTTCCTTTTTGTCACAATTTTTACTCCAAATAAACTGGTAACACCCTATACTTGTTGGGTCAGAGGAGGAGAACTTCATTTAACGCAGAAAAGTTAAACCTAAGCAAAGATTTGAGCTCGGACTTTATAATTAGGCACCTTTTGCTGTGCTGGTGCCTATCCCAGTGAATCCATTATCCACATGAAGCTGTTAAGACTTAAAGCCTACTGCTGAGTTGAGATCCAAGGTCTGCTGACCTTCCTTTCCCTGCTTCAAGATCTCAGGGGCTAAAAGTATTGCAGCTCTCACATACTTCAGCACCTAGTGCCTCTTTTAATTTAAAATCTGTTTCCAGTTTGGACAGAACAGAAAAACAAAAGAGATTTGGAAACCTGTTTAAGATAGAAAAGTTGAAGCTGAATAATTTCAGGCTCAAGGAAAACCTAAGGTAAGGAAATGTTGGTGGTCCTACTCCTTCCCCCTTCAAACCTGAGCATTCTCCTTTGCAGTAATTTGAAAGCAGGAGGTCTAAGAGTAAGGAATGCAGCTTTATTGGGAAACTTATGCCAAAAGTGCTTCTATCAACTCATTAAGAGCTGCTGTCGGATGTGGCCAATGGTCCATCTGTGCAGCTTCTCTGAGGTCTCTGGCAGGATAAATCTACAGGAGCTAGTCCTACAGCAGCCTCCAGGTTTTCACAGGCTTTCTGCTGCCTTTGGTACCTTTTCTGATACCTCAGCATGACACAGGTACACAAGGGACTGTAGAAATGTGATTCCTGCTGCCTCAACCTGTGGGCCAGGATTAGGTACAGTCTTGCTGACGTGGCTTCTAAGGGTTGAAGTTTTTTATTCAAACTCGCATTTAGAGCCAAGCTGGCAACAGCATCTGCTGAAGTTTACTATTGAGTTGTTAGTCTTACAGGGTAGAGGATATTGTATAACTTCTTACAGTGCCCTTTTGGGTACTCTTACTTTAATATTCAACCCTGGATAAGATTCCAGGGAAATTGCCTTTTCCTCAAGTGTGCAGTAGCTGCCTGCAGAACCCATCCTCCACTGCTGCCAGCAAGTGCCTCACCCTGTGCACAGTGCCTGAAATGCTACTTTTTCTTTTTTCTTTGCAAATTCCAGGTTAAACCTTTCCTTTTTTATGTTAGGATGTTTTA